GAGAGAGAGGCGTGAGCAGAGAGAGAGAGGTGAGCAGAGAGAGAGACGTGAGCAGAGAGAGAGAGACGCGAGCAGAGAGAGAGAGCAGAGAGAGACGTGAGCAGAGAGAGAGAGACGCGAGCAGAGAGAGAGAGCAGAGAGAGAGACGTGAGCAGAAAGAGAGAGACGTGAGCAGAGAGAGATGCGAGCAGAGAGAGAGAGATGCGAGCAGAGAGAGAGATGCGAGCAGAGAGAGAGAGATGCGAGCAGAGAGAGAGAGACGCGAGCAGAGAGAGAGAGACGTGAGTCCGCGTGTCTATGGTCCGCGCTCGGAGCCCAGACGGCAGTGCGTTCACTGAGCTGTCAGAGCGGGGGTCACAGCAGCTGCTCTCGGGGCCAGAGCGGAGGATGTAACGTAACGTTCGGTTTATCAAAACATATCACAATATTTAACGTATAACACTAGTGAATTTCACCTAGATTTTTTCAGACATTAAAGACAAGATGTTATATAATAATTGTTTAATGAAAAAACAATTTTGCCACAAGCAACCAAAAGATGTGCCTCAGACAAGAATAGAACCTGGGTTCTCCAGGGCCCTGTATTTAATGCTATCCATTGGGCCAACAAAGCACCTCTGGGCTAGACAGGTTTGCACGCAGTCTTATACCTGAGCGTCTAAGTCGCTGGCAGAGCTAAAGCGGACTTAGCCTGCCACCTTGTGGCGATAAGATGTACTATTTTTCACGCAGCTGCGTGATTCCCGAGAAGCGTGAATGAAGACGACAAAACGGAATGGGACCTACTGTACGTACTGGTCTTGTGCACACTGGGGACTTTTACAACTGTATTCCAATGTGGTTTTACTGTAAATAGCAAATAGAATTAATCTGAATTAGAAGTCATTGGTCCAAAGAGATCGGGATGACCAATGTTCAGAAATGTAAATAAATGCATAAATGTAGAGTAGAGTAGCCTGGAAGAAACAGGAATTATGTACTGTATCAGGCCAGACCCCACAAAAAACTACTGCTTTCTTTCACGTTTATCTTTTATCTCCTCCACACACACACATGCACACACACACACACACACACACACACACACGCACACGCACATGCACACGCGTACACGTACACGCACACCCACACGCACATACAGTCTCCCCATTGTCCCTGTGCCCGGGCCAGTCTCACATTGGAGCAACTATAAAGAGTGTGTTTGATTTGTGCGTTGGCGCGGCTGCAGACACCTCTGTGTGGAGTCTCTTTGTGCCTATAGGATCTCCGCTGTTTGAACACAGTTAAGTACCCTCCATGATACTTAGTCACAATGCAGAGCGCGGCAACAGCTCACGCCCACGCCGCTCCCGAAAGCACCGGCTACAGGCTACAAACGAGGCTTCAGAGCTCACACCACAGAGACTAAACTCCGCCGTCGCTTGATGCTAAATACAATCGTTTTTGACAATGTTGAAAAAGTCCTCAGAGACTTGAGGCGACTGTCTGAATAGGAATATGGTAAAGTGAAGCGAAAAAGAGGATATTTGAGCGATTTCTGTCAAGGCATCTACTCTAAATGTGGAAGTCACTAAATGTGGAAGCAGAAATATTATCTTTGTTAACAGCAGAACACCCAGAACAGTCAATTTGACAGCTTTTAGTTTTGGAAGCTTAATTTATCAGTGTATGTAGCTTTTTGGTCTTCATAACTTAATGACTTTTTCCGTTTCTAAAAGCAATGTAACGTATTGCTTTGTCGTCATAACCCTAACCCTGCCTCAGTCTGGTGAAAAAATAAATTTTTTGGGGGTTAAACTAAATTGGTTTTATTGGGAGCAGTCAAAATGATGGCTCTGGGAGTTTTAGGAGTTTCTTGAGTCCTAGTTTGTTGAGTCCTATATATATACACATGTTACACAAAACAAAATTATGTTATGTATGTTGAGGAAGATCAATGTCTCTTTGGCAAAATACATCACTAGAGTTTCAAAAATATTAGGATAGGATGATCATTACCAAACAATACAGTATAAATATATTTTTTGCTGTCAAACTCTATCTATCTATTCTTAAATGCAATTGAAAACAATAGAATTACCACCAACGGCTACAGCTAAAATCCAAGTCTCGGCTCACATAAAAACCAGCACAACCAAACACATTTCTTTATATACAAAGCAAACGCAGATGCAATGCAATTTTGTGCAAATACCATCGCTTCAATACAACCTATCGTTTCCAATAGACGAGTGACGATTTGCTTTGAATTGCGTTGCCGGAGCCTGGGTAATGTATATGTTTATGTGCATCCATTTTTGTAAACAGCAGGAGGAAGAAATGTTCCAGAAAATCCCAGAATAAATGCTAAATCTCGTCACCAGCCGAGAAAATGTCAGCTCTTAAATAAACACAGCGTGAAGACGAGGCTGCGATCTCGGTGTTTAAGTTCAGAGGGGGTTAGTTCATGGAAGGGGAAAGTGGTTGGAAAGGAAATAAAAAGGCGGGATAAAAAGTTATACATCAGGGCAAACTAGCTCACACCAACTTGGAAACCCAGACAGATCCCAGAACAACCATAACCACAGCGGCACAGGGACCAGATCGCCGCGACCAAAACCCACAAGTCCCTTCCAATTCACTACATCTGTTGCCAACGACGACGTGTTCCAGAGTCATAAAAAACCTGTCTTTCTTGGCGATTCTGCGGCGATTTGGCCCCTGCTGCGAAGTGGAAAGGGTCCATAAGAAATTCTCGCTTAAATCCTCTCACCAAGGACAAGTGAAAAACGTGGGCTGGATCCCAAAAAATGTGTGTAAGATTAGGTGTAAAGCAGCAGGAGGAAGACAGCACCAAAATCAGGTCTGGTCCCAGCAGGTGAGGAGAGATTTGTGTGTGTGTGTGTGTGTGTGTTAGATGTAAGTGTATGCAGATGTGTTTTCATGTGATTCCAAGAGGCTGCGGACATGCTTGTTTCGAAAAGCCGCGTCGAAAGCCAAAAAAAAAAGCCTTGTTGCATATAGCGTGTTTGCGAAAGATCAAAGTTGTGATGCAAGACTGCGTGTGCGGTTCTGGTCGGGCCACGTTCAGGCTGAAGTATGGATTGGAGAGTTTTCTCGCAAGGATTCTGAAGAGAGAGAAGTGTTTCATTTCATGTTTGATGACATCACATCCTCCACTGTCACTTTTCTCATCTGTGCAATTATACTTTGAATCATGTCAGAATGTGTATCATCGAACCACAGGTGTCTTCTATCACTTCACCTACGCTAACATGTACGGATGTAAACACACAACTATATATTTCTTGCACTAAATATACAGTATTTTACATCTGCTTTGTTATTATGCTAAAGCTAGAGATTTTATACTTGCTTCTTTATTATGCTAAAGCTAGCGATTTTGTACTTGCTTCTTAATCATGCTAAAGCTAGATATTTTACACTTGCTTATTGAGTATGCTAAAGCTACTGATTTTATGATATTTTGTATGGAGTTATTTTTTACTTATCTTGTGCTGTATGCATCTCATTCCTACTGTTCTGTAACTTGACGATACAGCACTGGCATTTCCCCCACTGTGGGACGAACAAAATATCTCTTTATCTTCAGTCAGTTTTATTATGTGTTATAACTTTGGCTATGGCTTTAAACTTTCTATCCATTCTCATAAACATACGATCGTGAAGAAATGTACTGTATCTGTAAAATATAAATCTTTAATTTCCAGTTTGTATTAAATCGGCATTTATAATCAAGCGGTTTTTTTCATGGTGTGTATAGATTCTTCCTGGAGAAATTGGACGATTGATTGGGTTGGGTAATTGGAAATACAGACTCAGCCCCTCTTGAAGACACACACTGAAATAGCCACACACACAGCCAGAGGAGTCAATCAATGTCCCCCTTTGTTTCCTCATAATTAACCATCCTGACACCGATCCTTTCCACAAAGACGACTCCGAGACGTTAGCAAGACAATCACGAGCCTCCACCAGACCAGGAATCAATCTGGGGTCCAACAACGTCACTTCAGCTTGCAGCAAACCACTCAAATGCATGGGTGATATTTAGGAAACGCTGTCCAATCATTTCAACCAATGGCAATGAAACTGAAACACAGCTAATCTTAAAGCTGGGGTACTTTATTTCTGAACGGCCAAGAGATACGTCTATCAAACTTGTTCCCGTCTCAAAGGCGAGTTTGATCCGTTGGCAAAGAAGGACCTGAATCTTGTCATCTGATGTGAATGCATATGTGTGTGCGTGTGCGTGTGTGTGTGTGTTTGTTTGTGTGTGTCTGTTGGTTGGTCAGATTTTTTACCAAACTTTGTGTTGCTTTTTCTGTATGAAAAGTGCAGTATAAATAACATTTGATTGATTGAAATGCATCCATTCTCTTAATTCCTGTCCCTCCATGATAGATCAGAGTGTCTGTTGGTCAAAAAAGACAATCGGATCAATACTAAAGTTAGAGATTTCTCTATTATGTTACAGCTATAGATGTTGTACTTGTTTCTTTATTATGGTAAAGTTAGAGATTGTATACTTGCGTCTTTCTTATGGTAAAGTCTCTATTGGGTTTCTAATCTGCTAATGCCAAATAACACATTTTCTGAAGTCCTTTGCAATGACTGACCTACAAGTTTGATAGAGAAGAACATGTCATAGATGCTAAATCTATTATTGTATTTTAATTATGTTCATGGGAGTCGACAAGTTTTTACTTCTTTCCCATTCCGTGTCAAGCTGAAACATTGTAAATAGAAATGCATACTGAGGTTGTAAATATACCAAACTAATGCAAATATTGTTACTTTATTGTATATGTATGTGTGCATATATATACTGTACTGTATATGTGTATGTGTTTACAGTAAAAGCAGTAGGTAACAGAAAAATAAAGTATATCCATAAACTAATGAGTGTAAATATTGTAAATACTTATGAATGTAAAGTTTCTGCTCAAATTAATAAAATCAATCAAAACATGATTTCTCAAAAACAAAGTACCCCAGCATTAAGTGTTTGTTCCACAGATCTCACTCTCGCTCGTTTGAACAGAAAAGCAGGTCTTTAAGAGAGGGGAATCTGTTGTTTTTCCATTGGTTTCAGTCTGAACGTGGCCCACAAACGCGACACACAAACATCTCGGCTCCGTGTCTCTGGACTCACCGATGACGACGGTGGTGATCTGGTTCTTGGTGGATCCCAGTTTGTTCTTGACTTCGCAGACGAACGTGGTGTTGACCGCTTCGTCCACTTTCCGCACCGTCAGCTTGTTGCCGTCCACCACCACCGAGTCTGGGAGAGGCCCGGACACTCTGCAACACAACAGCCGCAGACATTATCACACACACAACCGCAAGGAAGACTGGGAAGTCACAATGGGACTTAGTTTTTGTTGTTTGTGATACATGTGACTTTTTGTTTTTTATATCTGCTGCTAATTTATTTCTTCCTTGCTTCGTTATTTTTTGTTTGTATAGATGAGAATACAGACAAACAAATATATATAAATATAGCGCCTTACAACTGTTGTCCCTCCACACAGAGATGGGAGTTCTATTGGAGAATAATGCCTATATATGGAAATTGGCTCCAGCTAGCTTAAGTTCAAAACGGCTTCTACTGCATGAAGGCTAATCAGTCACTCGCCCAGTCAACTCCCAATACACTAGTCTAGGATGAAAAGACATATTAATATATGGATTTAAAAGCAGTTTTGAACCCGGCAGATTAAATGAAGCCACGCAGTAAAGCTTGAGTTTTTTTTGCGATAATCAAAGCCAGCATTAATGCGTAGCCACTGTCAGCGACGGCCAGAGCCTTAGAACTAAAATGTCATTAGAGATGCCGGGACTCACAGCAGGAAGACGGAAGGGGCGGGATGCGGAAGACTCACACTGTTTTGATCGCAAACTGGGACCTAATTATTATTATCAACGATCAGATTTGGGCGTTGGAAACTGTGCAAGTCATTAAAAGAAGCGAGACTCTGTATAGGAGAAAAGTGATCATGTGACATCACAGCATTCCAAAGACCTGAGAGTTTGTGGTGGAGGGTGGTTGAGAATTTTTTCTTGATAATTAACTTCTTGTCTTAGTTTAGAGCTCCTTTCTCTGTCATTCCTAACTGAAAGATATGTAAATGTAAAGATCATTTAATTCTAGAACAGGTGTATAGATGAAGACAGAATCGTATTTAAAACCCAATCTTAACACTCAAAGAAAACAATACAGTAAATACAATTGCAATATTGAATTCTGAAATGTCCCCACTGTGAGACAAAAAAATAATCTCTTAATCTTACGCCCTAAATGAAGGTTAAAAAAGGCTCAAAAACAACGCCATCAGGCTCTAGAACAAAGCCACTTCAGGAAGAAGCAGGGGGTGTGGGGCTTAAATTCTTTATTTTAATTATTTTAATATATTTTATTGTTATTTTTTATTATGTTTTTATTTTTTAACCCTTTCCTATCTTTGTACGATTGCGAGCAAAGGGCCAATGCACAGTTTCCTTTGGGATCAAGAAAGTATATATCTATCTATCTAAAAACATGTCTAATCCAGGCGCGCACACACACATTATCTGTTCTATTTAGACTGAGGGAATTTAGCTTGGGATTATTTATGATTTGAATGTCTCGGGTGATTGATTCTTGTTTTGTTCAGCACTTTGAGTTGCCTTGTGTACGAAGTGTGCTGTACAAATAAACTTTGCCTTGCCTTGTCTTGCCTGTGGGATGTATTGATGTTTCCTTGTGCAGTTTATACACACTATACTAATAAAAACCCTTTTAAAAACCTCCATGTTTGAACAAGAATGAGCCATAAGAAAGTGCTGGTACTCACGCTGTCCATGTGACGGTGGTGGGAGGCGGGTTGGCGTTGGACAGACAGGTCAGAACGGCGTTTGATCGGCCCATGTACCAGTTGTGGTCGTAGTCCTCGATGGACACTGACGGAGGATCTGGAGAGAAATGACACGCGTGAATAAGGTGGAGCAATATTGAGAAAACTACAAAGTTCTTCAGTTTAGTTTATCCATGTAAAGCCCTGAATCACAACGATAAGAAGTTATCTCAGAAGACTTTACACAACCGTTAAATCCACCAACACAAATCAGAGAATTAAACCGTTCATGAGCACGTGCGCCCCCGGGCCTGTGGGGGTGTACCCAGAAAGAGAATTATCCAATGCTTTTGAATGGCATCTTCTATCCTCTCAAAAACGCATTTACAGGATGGTCCAAAAGTCGGCTCTTGTCCCGAAGCTACGTTCCAGAGAATTTATTTTTGGACCCGTCTAGTTTAGGCTCTGTGGACGTTTGTTAAATGAATGGCGCTGGTGCTGGCTGACGTATGCGCAAATGTGTGTTTTCACATTTTTCTGCAGGAGGGGCTGCCCCGCGGCCATTTTTAAGGGGCCCATAGAAAGTGGTGGCACATTAATTTCTACGTCCGTTAATAATTACAGTCTATGGTTCAAACACAGGAAATACAATGATACAAAAAACACTGTGAATATCGAAATATCTTTGCTTGCTAATCAATAAAGAAAACTGTTCCATATGTTCATTTAAAATATGCTTAAAGCTTTACTAAAAAAAATATTACCAGGCATCCACGTTCAGTCGATTTAGATATATATACCCATCAAAAATATAAACGCAACACTTTTGTTCTTGCTCCCATTTTCCATGAGATGGACTTAAAGATCTAAAATTCAATCCAGATACACAATATTACCATCTCTTAAACATTGTTCACAAATCTGTCTAAATGTGTGATAGTGAGCACTTCTGCTTTGTTGAGATAAACCATCCCACCTCAGAGGTCATGATAGTGCAGAGGTGTGCCTTAGACTGTCGAGCATGTAAAATGGAGCAAAAACTAAAGTGTTGCGTTTATATTTTTTTTGAGTGTACTATCTTGTTTACATTGGAAATTGGTCCGTGACAAAAGCATCATGTTTAGTTCACAGTCGCGCCATCCTGTGCATATGTGGTCTGTACATTGATTCAAGAATTTATTTGCCATTTACAGAAAAAACACACTGGAAAAACTGTTCATGAATACCTCAGTGTGAACCAGAGCATACACCAGAGCTCTTGCCATGCGCCGTGCCATTGAAGCCAAACATTCATTCTGCAGGGTCATGTTTCCGTCTGTGTCACGTACTGTATACTGTATATGTCCAAGACCTTTATAAGACGTCCATCCTTCACTGTCACAACCAGACTTCTACAGGATCTGCTTTGGACCTGACGGACCTTGCTCAAACCTTCTACCCATAAGCCCTAAGTCAACTACGCAACCTGTCTGTGTGTCTCCTTGTCTCACATCTGGGATAAAATAATTCAAAAGCCATACTGTAGGTCCATAAGGGGCGGATTACCAATGTCCAAAAATGTTGATACGTTTTTAAAAATGTCGAGTGTCCTGGATCATCACCATTCTTGCACTTGTATTGAAACTGTTTTTGTTTATCGATTTCACAGTGACAAATGTTTCCAGCACTTTTTTTTTTAGCTTGTTTTATTCCTGTACTTGTCTGGTGCACTCTGGGAACTTTTGCGCATGTATTCCAACGTGGTTTTGCTGCAAATGGCAAACATACTGAATCAGAAGTGTGGAGGGTTTTCGAGGACGCTGCTGTGTAAACAATGACGCCACCAAACGACTTAACTCCCAATTTCACTTCTGGGAAAATAAAGCCACAGAAAATTCAAATAACTTCCTGCAATTGCGTTGATGGTCCCTACTGCATTTCCTCGTGTACCCTCCATAACTCATGATTAACTCAAGGTACCAAATGCTGAAAGATTCTCACAATATTGCAGTTTTTGCCTTTGAACAGGCCTGGTTCAGTGGAGATATGGACAATCCTTATGTGGAATCCTGAGTTTAGGATTCTGTGGAGGCAAAACCTGTTTGTGCTTTTTTCTTAATGTATTAAAAAGAGTTTTCTGCCCAATCTGCTTTAATGGTAAATACTACTACATATTTGTACACACATATTTTAGGCAATTACTGTTCCCAAAACCACACTGGTGTACCCAACATTCATTCGCCTTTGAAACAAATTAGACAGAAAATGTTGACTATGTATACACTTTTTAGAAAGAACCATAGGTGTAATTATTAGCTGCTTTAGGTTGACAGCTGTGTGGCCATTTTTGAGTTTTTGTAGTTTTTATTGAGATAAAACCCCATTATTCTCTTCTTCTTCAATTCAATTCAATTTATTTGTGTACAGCCCTAAATCGCAAAAGCAGGTATCTCGGACGACTTTAGAAAGCTGTCGATTCACCGACAGAGATCAGAGAAGGAAAGAGTTCAAACACATCGAGAGCCATTGGTCCATAAGGGACAGAGACCAATGTCCAATAAGTCTTTGGAGTTGTCAATGCCGTCCTGCATCGACAACTCCAAAGACTTGATGATATGAGTGACTTTTACCGACATATTTATTTCAAAACATTTTTCACACTGCCCCAGCTGTGAAAAGTTGTGTAGACAAACAATTACACCTGTCAAAATACTAAACTACTATTTTAATCTGATTTGGTGAACAGTTGTTTATTCACAGTGTAAAAAAGCTTTCTGGTTCCACAGTGGGGGATTTCAGCCTCACAGAACTGGAGAGAATACAACGATAATTACACGTTTGGGGCAAAAATACATCAAAATTCATCATCAAAATATGTTCAAAAACATTTTCACAAAAAAGGACTACATTATAACAAAGAATGTGTCAATAATTGCTTCCTCTGAGTCCTTTCTGCATGTGAAAGCCAGTTTTGGTCAGACATCGGAAGCTAAGCAGGGCAGGGATTGGTTAGTACTGTGATGGGAGACCTCTGGGAACACCAGGTGCCACAGTGGGGGGAGGCTGCAGCTGTAAAGTGCTAAACAGTGGTTGTGTCCTTAGGCAAGACACGTCATCCACATTAGAATCAGTCTGGTGGTACATACAGGTTGCCTCACTTCTGTCAGTGTGCCTCAGGGCAGCTGTGGCTTCAGTCGTAGTTTATCACCCCCGTGTATGAAGTGAAAGAATCCGAACATATGAAGCGTCTTTGAGAGTCCATGAAAGCTCTGTATAAAACCAATGCATTAATTTTATTTATCTTATTTATGGACATTGGTCATCTGCCCCTTATGGACCAATGTGTTTTTTTTTATCAATCCTCTGTTTAAACTGTTTGATTTTCTGATCTGTATTGGCAAATTGACACCTTGTAAAGTCCTCTGAGATTATTTAGGGGTATACAAAAATGTATTGATTTGAATTAAAACGTCCCTGAATGTCCAAAAAAGTTCTATATAACAAACTGATGCATTTCTATTTCACTGAAAACAACTCCACAATAGGGTTCAGTGTTTTATGAGCTTTTATCAAAATGTCACAGGCCGGAGTCGGTGCGTTTATGTGGAAGGAAGCTCTGTCCTGACGCTGTGATGTCAGAAGAATCCCAGCGGAGCAGTTTCAAACGCCTTCATCCATAAAACACACGGCTGAGAGCGAACGGGGAGAATAAACCTGGATGTGCCGCAGATCCCTGAGCTCTGGCGTTCACTCACAGAAACGGTTCAGAATCAGTGCTCGCCTCTGAAGCCATGTGACGCGTGCAGAGTGCTAAACCGTGTTTGGATCCACCTGCTTTTCATGAGGACGGAGCCCACGCAGAGCCCCGGACGAGGACGAGAGAGCGGAGAGCGGTCCGTGGAGCCTCGACGACAAAGACGAGTGACCCACAAACAGATCTGAAGCAACGCAGCGTGATACAAGAAGCAGGAGTGGTTCGTCCAGTGGGATTAGGGCATGTATTTTTCAAAAAACTGGAAAGAAAACTCCGAATAATATGTTGGAGGTGGTGGGGAAGCAGAAGCAGTAGTAGTGACAGTAGTAGCAAGAGGTGAGAAAGAATAATTTTGGAATCGGACGATACATAATCATATATTCATGTATCATAGCCATACATTAAGATGTATAAAATTCAATTCTCTGCATTTGACCCATCCTGATGCCACGAAGGTTTACGCCAGGAGCAGAAGTCGCCGTAGTAACAGCGCCCAGGAACCCATCTCCAGATGTTGATGCTCGGCTTGGTCAGGACTACCAGAGCTGGAGGATTGAACCTAATGAGCATGTTTTTAGTGGTAGGGGAAACCGGAGAACTCAGAAGAAACCTACGCAGGCACGGGGAGAACATGCAAACTCCACTCAGAAAGACCATGTTCCGACCAGGATTCGAACCCAGGAGCTTCTTGCTGAGAGGCGAGAGTGCTATCCACTCAGGCACATCTTGTTTCTGCTCAGCACTTTGAGTCGCCTTGTGTGTGAACTGTGCTATACAACTAAACTGGCCTTGCCTTGCTCATATAAGCTGTTTTTCATCCTCATCTCAATCTGTTGCAGCCAAACACACGGCCCATGTTGAGCTGCTGTCAGTGAGACATAGGTCTGATTCATCTGTAAACAGTACATAGTAAGGTTCGCACACGGAACTATTATTTGGCCAAAGTGAAGCAAGCAGACGTCCCAGGACTGACCCTTGAGGCACTGGTCAGGGAGAGATACAAATTGAACCAACTCACTGTTTTCAAACCACAAAAATGGAACTATTCGATCAAATCCATGTAACTGGTTTCATGGCTAATTTACACCTGTAGTCTCAGGGACTACAGGTGTAAATTAGCACTGCTGCTATAACCTGGTACAATGCATCTCTCCTTCTGGCTAATGTTTATTGTACAATATCCCTGTAAAAATTAAAACCATACCATACCATGGTTCCTTGCTTTAGTTTGGTTCTAGAGAAAGTTTTCTCAGGTGAGTATTTATTTGGCATCAGTCCCATTTTTAGATCAGCTTTTACAGACAGAAAGGTTAGAAAGAGAGGACCACCACCACTCGGCCAATCAGCTCTCAGTCCAAAGTGCCAAATTATTACTCACAAATTAT